CAGCTGTGCTGACAGGGAAGGCGGGAACTGTACCATGAGGGCAGGCTGGCTTCTGCTCCAGGGCCCCCGCCCCGGCCACAGAGGGAGTGGTTTCTTCTGATGGTGACAGTGTTGCCATCAGGGTGGCAGCAGTGTCTGTAGCTTTCTATTTTAAAACCTATAAACTGAAGGACTTTCTTGAAACTGCTCTGTCAGAAGCTGAGCGTGGGGGCGTATGCCTGGGATTCTGGCTCTCGAGAGGCTGGGGCGGGAGGATTGCTGAGTTGGAAGCCAGCTGGGCCGTGCAGTGAGTTCGGGGCCAGCCGTGGACTGCATACTGCTGTATACACCACATACTGCCTGTCTAAAGAGGGAAAAGAAGCAATGCTGTGAGAGCAGTTCTGTGAGAGTTGATGATTTAGTTTAGGGGAGGTCTCGGCAGGTTGGACAGTAGCTTGTTTCCTGCTGAATTGTCCTCCTCGCCTGGGTCTCTGCCCAGGTCCCGGCAGTCAGGTCAGCGGAACTTGGACCGGGCAGCATCTGCAGAGGACCTGGAAGCACCAGGACACCAGGCCCTTGCACTGCTGGATGCCAGGCTGCATGTGAGCAGGAGCTGGGCCGTGCTTCTGGGTGCACACAGGGCTGGGCTGTGATCCAGAGCCAGCCACACTTGGTTCTGTGACGGAGATGGGTTTTGCTTGTCGTGTTCTGGAGCAGGTGTGGCCCACGAGCTGCCGTGCTGATGGAAAAGCGGCAGGGAGGCAGAGAATCGAAGCCTCTGTCCTGATGTGCTTCCAAGTAGGGGTTGGCTGTGGAATGCACTTACAAGTACAGTGGATCCTTGAGTTAGGACTGGCCTCACATAGGAGCAACTTTTTTTTTCCCCTTCTTGTCTTTTATTTGTCTTTTTTTTAAATTGAATTTATTGGTACATTCTAGGTAGAGAGTACAGTTACATTCATTACTGGGATCCTGTACCTTTACATGCCAGGTCTTGGTTCTCATTTTTTCCCCTTATCCCCACCCTCCCTTCACCCCCTCCTCCCCTCCCCACCTTCAAACACTTTAATTCCATTTTTACATTTTCTCATATTTTTTTCCTTTTCCCTTATTCCCCCTTCCCTATCCTTCTCACTGTCCCTACACCTTTGGTCCTTTTCTTCCTATTTCACATTGCTAATTGCCCTGTTAATATCTTGAGTACTATTTTAGTTTTTCACACCAGAGAAACTATTCGGTATTTGCATATGTGTGACTTATGTATTTCTCTTAGGAGTATATCCTCAAAATGTACCCATTTACCTATGAATGAATCGATTTTCTCATTCTTTATGGCTGAGTAGTATTCCATTTTATAGAAAAATCATATCTTCTTTATCCAGTTTCCAAGTGATGGGCAGATGGTATTTTAGTTTTTCACACCAGAGAAACTATTCGGTATTTGCATATGTGTGACTTATGTATTTCTCTTAGGAGTATATCCTCAAAATGTACCCATTTACCTATGAATGAATCGATTTTCTCATTCTTTATGGCTGAGTAGTATTCCATTTTATAGAAAAATCATATCTTCTTTATCCAGTTTCCAAGTGATGGGCAGATGGGCTGTTTCCAAGTTTTAGCTATTACAAACTGTGCTGCTATGAACATGGGTGTGCATATTAGGAGCAACTTTGTTTAGGCCGGAATTTTAGTTTCAATTTAGGTCCAAAGTGTTGAGTTACAATCTGAAGGCTGGGCTTTCCTGTGTGGGGTTCACTGTGAAACCCTGGGCTGGTGTCTGTCTAAGGACACTGAGACCTGCCTGTGTGCAGGAGAGAGACGTTGAAGGCTGTATAGAGGAGCCTGGGCCTCTGCATGACCCTGTGGTGGATGACACTGTCACTGTAGCAGAGTCCATGGCTTGCAGGTGGACACTGGTGATGCTGAGGAACCACTGGAGGAGCAGCCAGAGGAGCTGTCCGCAGAGGAACATCAACTTCTGGCCAAGCCACAGACAGTGGCAGCTGAGGGGCTTTCTGAAGAGGAGGGGGAGCATCAACAACCAGAGCAGCAAAGTTCTTCTGAGATAAAAGAAGTCCTGAAGAAATGGACATAGCTACAGACATTTGTAGACAGGACCCAGCCAGACAGAGGAAAAGCCAATCACAACATTCACTTGCTAATGACAGTGTCACATTTTATTACAGAACAGGGTTAAAGAAAAGACAGAAACAGACAGCCCTAGACCAGGTTTTAGTTCTGAGAAGGTTGAGACCTATTGAGCCAGAAACAGGTGCCAGTGAGCTACAGACTCTCCCAAGGAGAGAAAGGATGCCAGAGGGCCAGATTCCTGATGTTCTATGGAAGGGGACTCTCCTTCCAAACAGTAAGCCACCTCCATTCACCCTCCCTTGCTGCAGGCCAGAGATGCCAACTTGAATGGTGAGGACAGTAAGAAACTATTGTTTGTGGTAAACTAGGCACATTTTATAGCTCCGTGAATGCACTAGGAAAATTAGGTATTTCCAGTAAATTATGCATATTATGCAATGCTTTTTTATATGAAAAGGTCAGGAAAGGGTGCTTTGGGAGGTTCGGAGTGCATCATGGTGTTTCCATTATTTTTGATGGGAAAAATAGTCTTGACTTACAACCAGCCCTCGAGAACGAATTGAGCTCCTAAGTCAGGGGTTTACCGTATTAAAGCAGATTGACCTGGGGACACTGTGGCCTCTTCATTGGTTGTTTGAGGGTTCTGTCCTGGCATAGTGTGCAGCCATTGGGATCATGGGATGACGTGTATGAGGACATGGTGCCACGTCAGTGCATCTTGGGCCATGTCTCCTGCGATTGTCCTGCAGTGATACCTTGCGGGCAGCACCCAGACTCATGCAGTAACGCTGCTGTCTTTTGTGTTACGCTACTGTCGGTCACTGAAGGAGAACTCTGGGACTGCAAAATTGTTCCACACGGCCTCATTTGGGGGTCTTTGACCTGCTCTTCTGCTCATCTGGGAATAGTTTAATTTGTGCAGTGTCTGTGCAGAAGCCAGTTGGAGTTTCACTAATCAAGATGAGAATAAAACAACATGTAGCTCTGTGGTTTCTGTTTTGTTCTGTCTCAAAACATTGTTTTTTCAAAAAATAATCCCGTATTTTATTTTTTTTTATTTTATTGAGTTTATTGGTACATTTTAGTATACAGTACAGTTACATTCATTATTGGGATCTTGTACCTTTCCATGACAGGTCTTGGTAATCATCCCATATTTTAGAGACAGGGACCTCATCGGGGATGTGGTGGCTGTCAGAGGTGTGATCAGAAGGTACAGCTGTGAATGTTTATATTGAACAGATTTATTGCAAGAAAAGACACATTGCTATTAACTGCCCACGAAATGCTCCCCTTCACTTCAAGTGCAGACCCAAGGGCCGCCCACACTCTCTGGGAACCCTGATCCGCGAGCTCCCAGCATGTTGTAATGGAAGCTGAGCTGAGAGAGTGGTCAAGGTGGCGGTGGCCTGCACTTGTGGTCACAGAGGGGCCATCTGAGCACAGGGAGTCTGAGTGTGGCCATGGGAAGTGATTTGTCCCCTGGTTGGGCAGTTACCAATGGAGCAGCCAATGGTGTTACTCTTGTTTACACAGGGAGTCTGGATTTTGTGTGTGTGTGTGGTACCAGGGATCGAACTCAGGTCCTTGCACTTGCGAGGCAGGGAGTCTGGATTTTAATCGGGAGATGCAGGTAGGAAAGTTTAGATACTGTCCTGACCTGAGGTCAGCTTCCTTTTTCTCCCCAGTGTCAGGGCTCGAACTTAAGTAACAACAGTAGACTACCACTGAGTGACAGCCACAGCCCCAACTCATTTCTTTAAGGATTTCTTGGTACTAGAGTCTGTCCCCTCCCTCCCTCTGTCCACTCACTATAGTAATCAGCTTGGCCAGGAGGGTGGAGAAGCCAGTGACCATGCGTCATGGCTAACCTGGTGTGAGGCTGTATGTGAAGTGTTGGTTAAATGTACATCAGCATTGCACTTCTGCGAGATTTTGAAAAGCACACTATTTAAAAAAGCATATGTAGGGCTGGGGTTTAGCTCAGTGGTGCTGCTGCCTGCCTTGTAAGTGCAAGGGCCCGAGTTCAATCCCAGGTACCAAAAAAAAAAAAAAAAAAAAAGCATGTGAATGTGAGAAGAAAATGAGAATGTAACATAGGTGGAAAGATTCAAGATTCTTCCTTTAAAATTGTCCTGATAGAGGCAAGATTGAGTGTCACAGCATTGTAGATAACTCCACTTAGCATTTGTGAACAGTATCAGTGAATTTTCAAAATGCATTGCATCTGGAACAAAAGGCTATTTCATATTTTCAAAAATGGCTTGAATACAGAGTTCTTTTTCCTCCATTCTTGGGGACCAAACTGGGGGGTACTCTATCACTGATTTACAACTCCTGTTTCTTTTTAAAATTACTTTATTTTGAGGCAAAGTCTAGCTAAGTTGTCCAGGTTGACCTTGGACATGTGATCCTCCTGCCTCAGCCTTGCCTAGTAGATAGGATTACAGGTGTGAACCACCCTACCCAGTAGAAACAGTCCTTTTGAAATTAGTGAGAAGATTTGGGTATAATTTTAGACCAGATTCTTGAATAATACAAAGATCCGCTTATTACAAAAAAAAAATTATTCTTACAACTACAACAAAAGGAAATTCTTTTTATCTTATTCCAAGTAAACATTGCTTGGTATTTCTTGTTTTGGAGCTCAGAATTATCAAGACAATCTTGGATTTCAAAAACTCAGAGTGTTTATTGGCAGCAGTAGTTGTCTTTTAGTAAACAGCGTGGCTCCAGATTATGATCCTGTGTTTATATAACTGAAGTCTGAGTTAAGTGCCTGTGACTGTATTTGCAGTTGCACATACTTTCATAGGAATGAACACAGCATACTTCTGAAGTTAAGATGAACATGTTTGACACGCACTGACACCTCCACCTCTCAGAGCGATACGTTTATTGATCAACTACTCCAGGCTCAGCTCAGTGCTCAGGTTCTTGGGATGGGGAGAAGCCAGACGTTAGGTGATTGGAGAGAATCTTCCAGAAGTAAGTGACTCTCTTTAAAGCAGTGCTAATCTGATGTTCTTTTATGACAGGGTTCCCAACCAGAGTGCAGTTTTGCTGCATTAATAGTACTGTCAGTGTCAGCACTTTTCTTGGGAGAAGTGTTTTGCTTATTCAACTTTTGCTTCCTGTTAGATTCTTTCTCGGCTAAACAGTACTGTTGTCTTAGATTTGCTTGTTTTTAAATTTTTTTGGACTGGCTTGTGGCCTGAGAATTCAGTTTCTATTTTTTTTAAAGCCACTTAGAATAAACAAGCAAATGTGTGTCCCCTGGTACAGTAGCCAATTTAAGATGATTTATACTCACTTAGCAATAAAGTCTCATTCCTAAAGGATACGCTTGAGTGGCTGGAACTCTGCAAACGTTAAGACACTAATATCAGGCTTTGGGCCAAATGCATATATTCTGTCTCACTCCGATTTCTGCCATTTCAACGTACACCGTGGCCTTCTGTGGTATGTATTGTGTTAGTCCTTAGGATTTGTGGTATTCAGGCAGGCCAGAGATGATTCGCAAGTGATTCTTTAGATGCTACTAAGGTTTTGTAAAAGCAAGTTATTGTTAAGAGCTGGTGAAAAAACAAACAAAAACCCAAAGGAACTTTGAAGACTTGATTAGAAAAGATGTCTTGTTGTCCTTCATGTTTTGAGATAAGGCCAAAATATTTTTAAGTTGTCATAGTTTAAAACATAGTTGTCAAGTTTAAAATTAAAAAAAAAAAAAAAAAAGTCTCAGTGCTTTGGATGGGTTGAATTAGCAGTTTCCAGCTGAGCTGCCAGAGATGGAACGTGGAGATGCTGGGAGCCTAACACCGGTCTGTCCGAGTAGTCTCAGATGAGCCTTCCAGCTGCCTGTGAAAGTGCAGGTTTGGTAGCCGGCCCTGCATGAGAACTGTCTGATCAGGATGCCTGTCTTCCTCCCGGGCCGTGCTGCAGCCTCGACTCCTCTCCTGGAACATGGCTCCCCAGCTCGTCCCCTGGCACCGTCTGAGCTGCCCCCTGATGCAGCAGTGCCTCTGTACCTAGGGGCCTACCCCGGTGCTCGCATAAGTGCAGCGACACACACCAGGCTCTGGACTCCGCGGGCGGCAGGGGCCTCTCTGTGTACCTGTGCTGTGCCCTTGTGCCTTGACCTTTCCCCTGGCAGCCAGATGCAGTGGCGCCCTCTTCCCCAGGACCTCCTCCTCTTCCTGTGCTGTCTTATCACCTGCACTGCCCTGTTCCCTGAGTGTTCTGAGTGCTTCAGCCAGGCCTCCTTCCTGTCCTCATCATGGTAAGGCAGTAGGGGAGGGTGGGACTCTGGGGCCCGACCTCCTGGGCCTGAAACCTGGCTCCCTTTGCAGCTATTGCTGGGGTGGGGGTGTTGTGTAGTCTTTCCGAGCCCTGAATGTGTCCTGTGCAGAGTGGGGAGTACAGGGACTGGCCCAGGCTGTGGCCGAACATGCAGGGCCTGCGCCATGGCTGCATCCCTCCTGTGCAGCTCCCAGAAACCTATGGGGTGGGTTGGCCTCCTATTCCCCAGGTTGTCTTGTGCGTGTGTCTGGTGGAACTGGCCTCGCTGCACCGCGTTCTGGTGGCCTGTGCCTCTGAAATATATCACACGACCTCAGTGATTCAGAGTCCGTGTTCTCCTGGCTACCACACCGTGCACTCCCTAGTCCCCCGTAGCAGGCTATGTCCTGGCTCTGCTCCTCCAGCTGCAGGATGAAGCTGTGGGCTGCTGCTCTGGGTGGCACTGGGAACTTGGTGGTCTTCTGCACCCCAAATTCCACGTGTTCCCCCATGTGTTCCCCCAGGGGTGCTGTGTCTCCAGCACCACTGTGCTGCCCTGGGATGTGCTGGGCCAGAGGACATCGCCTGTCCACCTGCAGGAGTGCTGCGCGCTCAGAACGAGCTCGCCACCCAAGAAGCCAGGCCCCAGCACACAGTGGAAGAAGATGGCCAGCCCGCGGAGGCCCCTCTGCAACGGCTTCCTACAGCAGAAGTAACTCATCCAGGGATATGCCTCCTGACAGAGATAGAAGGCAGGTCATATGTCCGAATGTCTGTTTCTGCAGGCTGTGCAGTTTATAAAGTGTCACGGATCCTAAGTCCAAGTGCCAGGCAGGTTTTCCTCCCCTTAGTGGTTCCTGCAGAGGTGCGGACCCAGCTGTGGAAATTTCTCTCCCTTTTATTTCTTGCTCTACAAATCACTGATTTCCCCTGGAGTACTCATCTTCCCAGGGGCTTCTGTAACAAGTGACCACAGACTTACCGGCTTCAAACAACAGACATTGAGTCCTGTGCATTCTTCTTGAAGGTGAGGAGTCTGAGTTCAGGGCCCTGGCAGTGCTGCACTTATAGGGGCTCCGTGCCCACCTCCCAGTTTCACGGGTTGCCAGCCTTCCGTGGGGCCTTGGTGTGCAGTACACCACTCCAGACCTGCCTGGGTCTTTCCATTGCCGTCTTTAAGTGTCTCCCCCTCCCTCCTCCCTCTCTCCTTCTCCTTGGGCAGTACAGAAGAGTGAACCTGGGGTCTTTGCCCTAAGCTACATTCCCATCACAACTCCTTTATCTATTATCTATCGGTTTTTTCCCCTCCCTCCCTCCCTTCCTTCCTTTTCTTACCTTTCTTTGTTTTTATTCCTTTCTTCTGTCTTTCTAACTGCCAAGATTGGGCACAAACTTGTCATCCTCCTGCCTCAGCCTCCCAGAGTGCTGTAATTACAGATGTGTCTACTACCATGCCTGGCCCTGTGTATTGCTTTTAAGGACCTTTGTTGTTGGATTTAGGGCCTTCCTGTGTAAATGATTACCTCCCTCTTGGAATCTTTAGTTTCATCTGAATGGACCTGTTTCCTAATTAAGACAGCATTTCAAGTTCCAGAGATTAGGACTTGATGTATTCGGTGGACAGTTGACCTGTGATGCTGTGTAATAGCAGTGGGCCTTATCCTGTCAGTTAGTCTCACCAGTTTTATAAGCTAATTTCAAGTCCATTAATTTTCATGATCTGATTGCTGCCAGGGAGTTTTCATGGGGAGTGCATGACAGCTCTTGAGGCAAGTCTTCAAACCGGAGTGGGCCAAGGGCTGTGGTGTCATGGCTTGCTCTGAGGAGGAGACTCAGAGTGGAGCTTGGGCGGCTCGCGAGGTGGGTCTGCCTGGCCATTTGGTGACAGAGCCAGTGGTGGGCCCCTGGGGGTCAGGTGCAGAGCAGCGCTGCAGAGCATTGGCCTTGCAGCAGGGCTGGCAGGGGTGGGGATGTCCTGGTTTCTTCCTCTGACTTGGAGTGAGACCTGGGCCAAGGGGTCCATGGCCTAAGCCTGACTCAGCCTGGCTATATCTCAGGACTCTACAGGGAGAATCTTTGCTGAGGGGAGCATGAGAGGCTAGCAGAAAGCTATGGACAAGGATTTGGTTGGCTTTGACGGAATCAACACTGATTGTGTGTGTGGGTGTGTGGGTGACCCGGGAGTTTGAACTGGAGAGATCTTCATAAGGAGCAGTGGAGCTGTAATGCATGGCACAGATGTTAAAGGGATCTGTTTCCCACCAGTCCTTCCCCGGCACTATGACCATATAATTTTAAAAATAAACTTTGCTTATTAGTGCTTCCAATCATTTAAATATAGCTTTGAATACTTGCCATTAAAATATTAGGAGGAGGAAAAGGCATTGTGAAATATCTGAGAGCTGTTTCACCGGAACCGTTTTGGTGACCCTCCTTCCTTTGGACCGCCCCCGAGGCTGTCCTCCGCCATAGAATCTGTTAGGTTGAAACTTGGTTCAGAACCTGAGAGTCCCTTCCTGCAGCTTGTGGCAGGAGATCTGTAACCCTTCTCTGTGGAGCGAGTGTGACTTGGATGTCTGGGAACCGGGGCAGGCACCTGTGGGCCTGGGGTGGGACCTGTCCTTCCCAGGGAGGGGCTCTGTGTCCCTTCCTGTGTGCTGAGCCACAGGGGGATCTGCCTGTCTGGGGTCTGCTGATTCCGTCTCCGCCTCCTGTGTCCTTTCTGGCTGCTGGCTGGTAGCTTTGGCTTTCAGCCAGGCAAATCTGCTCTCCAGTTCAGAATCAAGACCGGTCCCCTTCCAGGGGTCTTGTTGTGGCACACAGTCTCCTGTGGAGGTCAAGAGGCTGTGACTCTCAGTGGAGCAGTGATCCTGGCACCTGCAGCAAATGCGTGCTCAGGCCAGAGCATCTTCGCTGTGAGCGTTAGGCCACACCATGGGATCTCTGGTCAGTAGCTGCCTGGGATGCGCGGCCTCCTAACCTCATTCTGGATGAAAGGGCGTGAAGTGCCTTACAGACTTGACGCCAGGCTACTTATTTATGAAATCATCACCTGATATCAGATATGTCGATCCTTGTCCACCAGATGCATGAGAAATAATTTTCAGCACAGGTATTGATCAGGCTGGTTACCAAGAATGGAGCCTGATCCACTTACTCTTCTGAGATTTACTAAAATTGACTCTCTTTGGGAGACCGAAAAAATCATCTAGGCTGCGAATGAGTTGTTCCAATTCTTTTCATGCCTAGCAAGGTTTCAGGCTAAATTTGGGCCCTCAGGAGACAGATTTAGGGCCTGGCGGGTCGAGAGCGAGATGCACGGCTTGCTGGCCACAGGCCGGAACGTGACACAAGAGGTAAGGCTGGAGTTCGTGGTGGGGTCTGGATGTGGCTGCTGCTTTGCTGAAAAAACCACAGCAATACCAACCCGATTGATGGAAAGTGTGTGCTGCAGTGAGGAAAGCAGAGGCTTTGTGCTGGAGGGAGCCCAGGGAGTCTGGGCACCACAGCCGTGCCTGGGAATGCTCCTTTCAGTGCCTGGGACTCTGGAGCCGTTCTGGCCACAGGGGAAGGTTGCAAGTGGGCTTGTCTGGTCCGGGGACGTCAGCGAGGCCATTTCTGAATGTGGGAGGAATGCGTGCTGAGGAGGAGCAAGACACAAACTGATTCCCATCAGCACCTGGGGTGTAAGTTGTTGGCGGTGACTGTAC